AAATTAATATTATAAAATATATTTTATATTAGAATTATTTTGAAAAATTATATTGTATAATATTTTTATAATTGTATAAAAATGGGAAACAATTTTAGGTTATAAAACAAAAAGTTTAGAGGATCTTGGCTATGTTATTTGAACCACTATCGGTCTAGATAACTTATTCGAACTGATACTGGTCCGAACAACATGACCTTCTTTTTTTTTTTTTTTTTCTTTTGATTTAAGGATAACACCATCCTCTCGTGCCTTGATTTCGTCTCTACCAAAACTAATTTCGTGCACTTGACCACTTTAGTTGCCCTTAACCCTGCATCGTCGGTTACACATCCAAAGTTGGTTACCAATGGTGTAAGACCATATAATTGCAAAACTACAAACATGTAAATTTAAAACTATTGGCTTTAAGGCTAGACTCATTGAAATTCAAACGTTTCAAGTCCTATGATTGAACGAGAGTAGAATGAACGAGCACGGTTTGAAACATCGAGCAAAGAAATGGATTATGGCCAAGTTATTTAGACCATTGTTGGTCCAGATAACTTATTCAGACCGGTAGTGGTCCAAAAAGGTGACCTTTTTTTCTTTCTATTTAAGGACAACATTGCCCCCCCGTGATTCGATTTTGTTTCTACCAAAGCAGTTTCGTGCACTTCACAACTTTAGTTGACCTTGACTTCTACATTATAGGTTATGCACCCAAAGTTGGTTACCAATGGTATAAGACCAAATCATTGTCAAACTACAAACACATAGCTTTAAAATTATTAGCTTTAAGTTTAGATTCATTGGAATTCAAGCGTTTCAAGTCTTGTGATTGAATGGGAGTAGAAGGAACCAAATATAGTTTAAGGCATAAGGCAAAGAAATGATTTTGGCCATGTTATTCGGACCACTATCAGTCTGGATAACTTATTTAGACCGGTAGTGGTCTGAACAATATGACTTTTTTTCCTTTTCATTTAAGGACAACACCACCCTCCCATGCCCCAATTTTGTTTCTACCAAAACCAACTTCGTACACTTCACCACTTTAGTTGCTCTTGACCCCTGCACCATCGGTTACACACCTAAACTTGGTTATGGATGACGTAAGACTACATCATTGCAACATCATAAACGTGTAGGCTTAAAACTATTGGTTTTAAGGTTAGACTCATTGGAATTCAAGCATCTCAAGTCTTGTAATTGAACGAGAGTATAATGAATCAAGCACAGTTTGAGGTGTTAGGCAAAGAAATGGATTATGGTCGTGTTTAGACCTGGAAAACGGGCGGGTTGGGTCGGGTTAGGGTCGGGTCAGAACAGGTAACGAGTTAAAACGGGTTAAGTTAAAATGGGTCACGGGTTAATGAAGGTAGACCCTAACCCGCCCATCACGGGTCAAGGGTCATTTCCTTTCAAAGAATAGCGTTAATCAAATTCAAGAACACAACACTTATAAATCTCAATAGCAAAAAAAAAAAAAAAAACAGTAGTAGCATGACAACCAAAAAACACAAACCTCATTGGAACATATTTGTTTTGGTCATTACTTTCAAAGAATAATCAATTGAATGCATCTAAGTAGAGGAGAAAATCAAGTAAAATTTTTACTTGGAATGGAAAGAAAACTAAAAAGCATAAATAAGTAAACAACTTACCTTGCAGTATTTAGAGAGAAAAGTTGGTGACAAAAAGAGCACTTACCGGACTCATAGGAGAAAAAAAGAAAAGGCTGAGTGGACGCAACGGTGACTCGATAATATTAAGATTTAAGTTTGAAATAATGTTAAAAACTAAAGAGAAAAGGTGGAGTTGAAGCTTGAAAGTCAAAGGCTGTATGAACTATGGAGGTTGAAGAATATGAGAAGAGTTTGAAGTTTGAAGAGTTAGAGTTTTTGAAAGTATTAAGGCAAGCAAGAATAGGAAAGGTCGAAAGGTGAGTTATGAGTGGAATGGGATTATTTTTATTTCTAGAAGATGATGAGTCAAGAGAATCAATTAGTTAATTAGGGAATATTAGTCAATTATTAGAGGTTTAGGTGGAATTGGGAATTGGAAAACAAAGTAAATAATAAATTAAAAAATTTTTATATTTTTAAACTGGTAAACGGGCCAAACCCGTTAACCTGATGGGTCAACCCGTTAACCTGATGGGTCAACCCGTTAACCTGATGGGTCAACCCGTTATTGACCCATGACCCGTTGGGTTCTCTTAACGGGTCATTAACGGGTCACGGGTCATAAATATATGACCATACCCCGTTTTAAACGTGTGGGTAATGGGCGAGTTAACGGGTTGGGTAAAAAATTGCCAGGTCTAGCCGTGTTATTTAGACCACTACTGGTCAGGATAACTTTTCCTCGAAGGAAAACACCACCCTCTCACACCTAATTCTGTTTCTACCAAAGCCAATTTTGTGCACTTCATCAATTTAGTTCCCTTTGACCCCAGCACCGTCAATTACACACATGAAGTTAGTTACCAATGGTGTAAGACTACATCATTGTAAAACCACAAACACGCAGGCTTAAAACTATTGGCTTTAAGGTTAGACTCATTGGAATTCAAGTGTTTCAAGTCCTGTGATTGAATGAGAGTAGAATAAATCGAGCATGGTTTCAAGTGTCAGGCAAAGAAATGGATTTTGGCCATGTTATTAGGACCATTGTCAGTCTAGATAACTTATTCGAACTAGTAGTGGTCCAAAAAGGTGACTTCTCTTTTCTTTTCTTTTCCTTTTTTTTTTTTTTTGTTTTCTTTTCTTTTCATTTAAAGACAACATCGTCTTCCTGTGCCCCAATTCCATTTTTACCAAAGCTAATTTCATACACTTCACCATTTTAGTTGCCCCTAACACTTGCACCGTTGGTTTTGCACCCGAAGTTAGTTATTGATGTTGTAAGACCACATCATTGCAAAACAACAAATGTGTAAGCTTAAAACTATAGGGTTTAAGGTTAGACTCTTTAGAATTCAAGCATTTCAAGTCCTATAATTGAATGAGAGTAGAATGAATCGAGCATGATTTGAGGCGTCAAGCAAAGAAATAGATTCTGGCCATGTTATTCAGACCACTGTTGATCCAAATAACTTATTTAGACCGATAATGGTTTGAATAAGGTGACTTTTTCTTTCTTTCTTTCTTTCTTTCATTTATATGGGGATTATTTTATTATTTTATTTTTGACATTAAAGAGTTGGTTTGTTTCACAGCATAGAAGGTTGCATTTTTAATATTTACCTCAAAATTTTAAATTAGTAAGTACTAATTTAGTTAAATTTTTATTGGTAGAGATTATTTAAATTAAGTGTTCTTTTTTCTTTTTTTTTAATGAATTTCCTTTTTTCTAACCATCAATAACTAAGGTCATGAATTTTGGTATACTTAATTAAATGAAAAGTCCTATGAATCAATT